GGGGGGGGGGGGGGGGGGGGGGTTAGGTGGCATGTTATTGAACCCACGGTTCTAGTCTGCAGGTGGCACTTAAGTAGTCCACATCACGTACTAGTGTTGTCGGGTTTATTTTGGCGGTCGGAAGCATGTGCTACTTTTATCCGATCGTTCCTGTATGCAACAAACTGCCGCTGTGTGATGTGTTGGCCGTGCGGCCATCAAGCATTCAAGTGTACAGTAGGTGCCGGAAGGGTAACAGCACCAGCACCAGTAATTAATCCAAGGAGAAATTTTGGATCGGGGTGTGGTGGCTTCGGCAGCAAGAAAGGCCACTGCTGCCATCTACTTCCTGCTGTGCATAACGCCGAAACAAGGAGGTCGTCTGCTGTAGGGAGGGTGATCATGACATGGCCTCTTGACCCCTACAGCACACGACGCACGTCTCCTGCACACGCTCTGTGTAACCCAAGAGCCCTGTGGGTCAACGTACGGGTCACCAATCTGAGCAACACCGACACTCACACTTGCAAATGTGGCAGCAATAACACCAAACAACTGCATTTGTGGCATAACCCCGGTAGTGTTCTTGAAACGAATGCCCCCGAACCCCCATCGCCTTGCATTTTCGCGGCGCTGTGCACCCAACTCAGCGCTGTTGTGTTTGTCGCTTGTGCTGTGCTGGATCCCTCGTCAAATCGAACTCCATCTCGCTCTCACCCCTCCCCGGACAGAGCCAGCTGTAGCGGCGGGGCACCAGCGGCATCATGTCTGGAGCTGCGAAGGTGCGGCAGATTTGGACCGCGTTTTTGGGATTGTTGTTTTTGTTGCCGCTGTTTGTGGTTGTTGTTGTTGTTGCTGCTGCTGCTGCTGCTGCTGTCTCCACGTTTTGTGACGCGGTGTTGGCGTACTGTGGCCTCCGTATTTCACACGGCTGCTGCGGTTGTGATGCCGAGTCCACGTGTACCGAACCGCGTAGTCGCTCGAGAATCCTTTGCTTGCAAGTCCCTACGTACACACGTTAGCTGCCCAGGCTGAGCCGCGAACGAAAACAAGCGGGTGCCAAGCGTTTGGCTCTTATCATGACACCAGTGACCGACGTCACCAGCGAACCCCGCTGCAGAGGATCAGGCAGCTAATATATATCCTCGTGTGGACGATTTTTTTGCAGGCCGCGTTCAACAAGATCCCAAGCGGTGGGCCTCTCCTGCCCCTCATCAACGGCGCGTTGGTGCTAGGAGCGTTGGGCTACTGCGGGTACAACTCGGTATTTACCGGTAAGGGGGGGGCGCGGTAGCGATGGTGTTATTGCGGTTCTGGCCGTTATAGCGACGGAAGAAGCTGCTGGAATCGAACCGTTGTCTTCTCTGCCATCACCCCCCCCCCCTCCTTGGCGGTAACCATAATGGTGGCCGAGTAGATCATGTTGTGCGGGGTGGAGAACCCTCGCTCCGCGCAAGGGGGATGATCGCACCACGTTGTGTTAAAATGGTCAAGCACTCTCGAGGCAGTTACACAGTGCTTACAACTGTCTCTGGAAGTGAAAGCACCAGAAAATAAA